CCCCCCCCCCCCCCCCCCCCTCCTGGAGTTGCTCATGAGCATCGAACGCAGGTGAACGTCGTGACCCGAACGCAATCATTCTGGTTACGCCGCGTCTTTTCATCACTCGACTTACGACCGAACGACCGATTGCCTGACCATCCCACCCTCTGTCCACTGCGTGGAAATTATCGGGCGCTACAAAATTCGACAGCGAGTGCAGCTGACTTGGACTTCGCTCGCGTGGAGGTTTCCTTCCACCTTTCGAGCTCGATATCCGCACAAATCACCCACCAGTCATGTCAGCGCTTCCCTCGCGCATCTCTTCGCTGGCTCCGTTCCTGCTGCAGTCACCACCAGGACAAGTAGAGAATGTGTACAATGATATAGCAGGTCTGTTGCAAGCCGAAGAAGACACGGAAGGCTCTTCCATCAGTGAGAAGGAGGTCAACATCCAGCTGCGGAAAGCTGCGGACCCTGCTTTGAAGGATCACAACGAGCAGCAATTTGTTATTGTCAAGGTTCAGGATGGCACTGCGACGAGCAATGCGACGAGCACCATCATTTGTCAAGAAGCGCGGATACAGGTGCAGGGCAGAGATAGATACAGGCATGCTCGTCTGCCGATCAGCTTCGAGATCGATCACAAGACTCTGGTGAGTGCACGAGGTGATGCCGCACATGTCGGCGGATGAGGGAGATGTCGAGCTCACTCACAAATGATGCTCGATGCGCAGGCTACAAGTGCGGTCGAATCGCTAGAACATAATCCGGAAGCGGAGCCGCTACGTCGAGCGTGGGATGCGGCTCTGGCAGAGTACATTGGTGATCGCTACCCGGATGGCAAAGCGGCTGTATTTGCTCGATTGCTTGGCGAGCCGATTGGTGGTAGTGCCTCAGAAATTGAGCCCACAGCTGCACCTGAAAAGGGCCCCGCCTCCTCGGCAGAAGCGGACGATTCAGACAAGAAACCGGAGGAGGACAGGGAAGCATCTGCTGAAGGATCCCAAGATGTCGAGGACAAGGCTGCAGCAGAGTCGAACGTGCCTGCTGCCAGTGCAACGCTCAAAGAGGTCAGCGGACCTGCCCCGCTTGTGGCGCATATAGTCGGTACAAGGCTGAATCCTCGCAATTTCTGGTGAGTGAAAGTCGAGAACGCATCGTCGCAATCCGGGACCTTCTATGGGTGGCTCAAGGAATCGGACGCTGATACGCTGATCATGCTCTGTCTTTGCTCGTGCACCTGTTGACAGGGCGGGAAGATGGAGGGGAACGTACACGTACGACCCTAACCATTCTTCAGTGCTGGCAGCGCGCTATCAGATCGTGGTGCACTACTACGAGAACGGCAATGTTCAGATGAATTACGAGCACAGCGAAGAACTTGCAGTATCAGGAGCGAGCGCACAAGATGCGGAAAGCGCTGCAAAGGCGCTCACTAAGGCTATTGAGAAGGCGGAAGGAGAAATTGCGGAAGGGATCAGCAAGCAGGTGGAGGAATTGGGAGGGGATGCGTTCAGAGCGATGAGGCGCATGTTGCCCGTGACGAAGCAAAAAGTGAATTGGGACAAGGTGAGTTTCAGAATTCGCCGCGGCGCGTCCCACGTGCTCTCTTGTCGGCAGGCTCTCGTCGGATCATGGGTGCTGACAGGTTCGAATTCGTTTGTGGACGTATGCGTCATCATCAAGCTGGTCAGCTACAAGATTGGATCGGAGCTCAGCAAGTAGGCTCGGTGTGTGTACACTCTCTTCAGCAAATGAATGGCATTCTTTTGTCAGTGGAGCAAGCTTTTGAGATGCGTCAGATTTTCTGCCTTGCGCAGAGAAGGGTACAGCGAGACTTGCGCGGTGGTTGGGGTAGTGCTCACTGCCCACATGTCAAGTCTTCGGCACCTTGTACAGCATTCGCCCTTTTCTCGATCCACCGAAGATCTCTATCAGTCGAGGCGCGCTGCTCCTTGCAAGCAGCTCAGTGCCACGCAGCTCTGCAGCTCAAGTGGGCCCCTCTGCCGGACGAGTCCGAAGCCCTCCAAAAAAACTCTTGCTCATTCCCCTGCTTGCTGCTTCGCGAGCCGTTCAGAGACTCGAGCTTGATCCATGGCGCAGCTTGCAAAGCTACCAACCAGCAGGTGCTATCTCGCATGTTTCAAGAAATCGAAGTAGTAGCAGCAGCAGCTGCTGCTGCTGCTGACCCACTTTCTTCGCGTCATGCTTGGCATATCGAAGAATGCCATGACAAGGATGTGGATGAGGAATGTTGAGGATTGCGATTGGTGCAACAAGCACGATGAAGAGCGGGAAAGTCCGTGCGCGCAACGTTTCGTCCGATGATCGGAGGTGCACGCATGAGCGAGCGAGCGGAGCTTATGCTGGCGAGCGACGATCGAGTCAGGCGGCATGCATGCACACCTGCCGTCCTCATTTTGCTTGATTGTAACTGTATAGTAGTAGTAAGTAACAGGGCTATAACCTTCTTTGGCACAGCATAGTAGTACTGTATAGACACTTTTCAGAG